AGATAGCTTAAAACAAGGGCTTTAGAGCCAAGTCTTTCTCACATCCATCTATAAAGCTGTCTGATGGTAGAATGAAGAAGGAAACACCGCCCTCCTCTTCTAGGAAGAGGTGGGGCCAAACAGTTGAGCTGAGGGAGCAATTCAACTGGTGCAAACAACATTGATTATTATTATTATTATTATTATTATTATTATTATTATTATTATCTTTATTTGTACCCCGCTACCATCTTCCCAAGGGACTCGGTGTGGCTTACATGAGGCCGAGCCCAAACACAACAAGAAAAGCAATAAAACATCAATACAAGCAATTAAAAACATAGACAATAAAAAACAACATTATCAAAAATGCAACACATAGTTAAAACAGTGGGGAGGCCAAATGTAAAGTTAAAATTGGAAATAATGCTGCTATAAGTAACCAATCAATCCAACTATACATTTACAGAGAAAACAGACAAGTTGGGGCATGTTACACAGTTTAAACCTTTGCAAATTAAAGTTCTACATATAGGTGGCGCCACTCGCGCGTCACAAGGGGACAGTCCCATCTTGTCTCCTGTGCTATGCTAATAATATAATATAATGTAATATAATATATTGTATATACATATAATATTTATAATATTATAATGCAATACAATATAATACTACTAATAATAATATATTATAATTATATATTTATATTACATGTAATATTACTAACAATATCTTACTAACAATATTTATTTTATATAAATAAAAAATGTAATGTTCGTTTGTGGGATTAACATAACTCAATAACCACTGGATGAATTGCAACCAAATTTGGCCACAAGACACCTACTAACCCAAGGAGTGACCATCACTAAAAAAATTGAGTTTGTCATTTGGGAGTTGTAGTTGCTGGGATTTATAGTTCACCTACAATCAAAGAGCATTCTGGACTTGGGAAGTGTCCAACGTGTGATCCAGTACGACAACCAGCAGAGTGATCTTGTCTGCTGTGGACTCATCTTGTTGTGTTTCTAATAATAATAATAATAATAATAATAATAATAATAATAATAATAATAATACATCACACAATCCTAGACACTTGGGAAGTATTCGACTTGTGATTTGTGATACGAAATCCAGTATATATATCTCGTTTGCTGTGACATACTATGCTTTTTTGACAGAATAATAATAATAATAATAATAATAATAATAATAATAATAATACACTCCCCAAAGTCCTAAGTGAAGGGAAAGCAGTGCAAGGAGTCAATTTCTGCTGCAGGAAAAACAGGGATCTGATCCTTGACATTGTTCTTAAGGAAAGAGCATGTGTCATGAATCTAACCTTTTGCCAGGAAGGCCGAAGCCTGGAAAGCCAGTAGCTGACATGTACAGAGATAGGCAGGAGAGCTAAGAGGCAAGAGGGAGGAGTCAGCCGACTCCTGATTGGCTAGAGCAATCAGGGGAGGAGCTAGCTTTGAGAGGGAAAAAAGGCTGTCTTATTTGACAAGCTGGAGGGTAGAGCTTTAAACCTCGTAGAGTGAAGAAGTATTTTAGGGAGAGGGAGCTGAGAGGAATTTAGACAGGGAGGAAGAACTTTTGAAGTGAGCCTTGAGATTAGAGCATAGGATAGGCAAAGGTTCCTGAAACACTGTACATAGTAGGGTCAGTATAGGAAAGCCTATTTTGCTCTGTGAGGCAGACAGTGGGCTGTTCTCAGGGACACACTGTGTCAGTGTAAGGGCCAGTGTGAAGCAAGGAACTCACAGGAAACAAACGTTAAAGTCTTAAGATAAAGCTGCTTGTCTAACCAGCTAAGCTTCTGAAACGCATTAAGCTTTTGTACCACTCTTATTAAGAGTTGATTTGTTCACCAAGTTTCAATAAACCTGTTGCTTATTTTATCTTTAAACTGGTGTCTGCCTCGGTCTGTGTAACCTATTAGATCTCAGCTAGTTCACAGACAAATCCATTTCAGTCCAGTCAGTGAAGGAAGCAGCGATTGAAGAAGAACAAAGGGCTTGAACCTAATTTACCAATTTCACATTCACACTTATGTTTTCCTCAGACATTAATTGAGGTGGTGGCGGCAAAACTACCAATTACATCAGCTATTAACATCGTTAGCACAGTTGGTCACTCAACAATATTACGGAGATGGGATAAGAGAGTCTTTCCCCCTCGTCGTTGTCATTTTATCATCGTTAAAGTAGTGTCCAGCTGAACGTTAACACCTTTCACACTGGTGCTAGTGGTGGGATTGCTTATCCCCCTGCCAAGGTTGACGTTGATCCTTTACACTGGTGGCAGCGGTGGGATTGGCTTCCCCCCCTGCCCGAGATTGTCCTTGACCTTTATTATAGCATGCATTTTGGAAGTTTTGGAAGTTTTGGAACTGTGTGTTGGCAGGTTGCAGGGGAAGCAGGATCTGGCCTAAGAGGTGTATTCTCCAGGAGATGACGGATGGAAAAATGGTGATGCATGCATGAGGATGAATGAATGTGTATGCGTAATGTGAATGCTGATTAAAAACCTAATTCTCCTTCATTTGTTAGCCAGTATAGCCGTAGGTTGTTTGTAAATCCAATTTAGTAACATAGAATCTGTAAGTCTGTATATCTAAATGTTGTTCACTCTGATTCCCTTTCCCCCATACTGGAAAATTGCAATAAAAAGAGCCCAAGCTTTAAAGTTATTGAAAAGTTATTCATAACATTGCAAGCATCTGGGATGACAAGTTGCCCATTTGTATATGTGTCAGCTTTGTGCAGATAGCAAAGCAATAATCCTGCTGAGTTTTGGGATGGAAAATGAAACTTCTCTGAAAATCGAAGCAACATCTGAGTCCGGAGTGAGCCTGGGGCCATGGAAGTGCTGCTTAGTCACTTGCTTCGTCTCGCTCTTTTTTGATTCAGTACTGTAAAAGAAATCCATACCGGGTGATGTTTTTCCACTTATGCATCTGAGCTTTCCTGGAGATGCATAAGCCGGAAAAAAACATCCTGCCGAACCTTTTCCCCCCAATGTCATGGAGGGAGAGATCAGGGGGAAATGACCCAAAATATTTGAGAAGACATTTTTCGAAGGTTTCTATAAGATGTCTTGGGTTTCTTTCCTTGGCTCTTCTTTGGAGGAAAAAGCCACTGGGCAGTATTTTCGGCCAATGTTCTGCATTATTTTTGTTTCATCTTTAATAATAATAATAATAATAATAATAATAATAATAATAATAATAGTAATAATAATAATAAGGCAGTCAAGAACCAACATTGAGGAAAGTCAATAGTAGTAAACTGAAATGGCAGGGAGAAGGTTTGAGGAAAAGAGACAAAGAGAGGTCCGGACATCTCAAAAGCACGGATTTATTTCCAGCTGGGACCCTAGAGTGGACTATGTCCAAAAGCATCCAGAGCCCCGATAGAGGCGTTGACTGTGCCTTTTATAGCCTCCAAATGAAGGCAAACAAAGAACATGCGTCTACATACATTGATCTCATTCACTACGTCACCTTAGCATCTCAGAAATATCAAGTTCTATTTTCCAACATGCAAAAGGCATGTCTCTGTGTATTTCTAGGAGCAGCATAGCTTACATTCATCAATCAAAGGGCCTAACTTTGACCTGTCAGGGGGGAGAGGGGGGCTCCTTCCCTAGAAGGAAGGCACTGGGCTATGTTGTACCAGTCTCTGTGGCTTATCTCTCTCTTGGAAGGGAGTGAGGGACGGGTGGAGGGAGTTCTTTGTGCCAAGTTTGAGTGCATTGCATGGTTGCATGAGTTCAGAATGCTTTTGGATGGGAGAGGACTATATATCCCAGCAGCTCCAAAATGCCAAGATCTATGTACTCCAGTCCTCTCCAGTATTTTCTGTTCACCATGGGAATTCTCTGTGCCAATTTTGGGCGCAATGCATGGTTTCATGAGTTCAGAATGCTTTTGGATGGGAGAGGACTATATATCCCAGCAGCTCCAAAATGCCAAGGTCTATGTACCCCAGTCCCCTCCAGTATTTTCTGTTCACCATGGGAATTCTCTGTGCCAAGTTTGAGTGCATTCCATGGTTGCATGAGCTCAGAATGCTTTTGGGTGGGAGAGGACTATATATCACAGCAGCTCCAAAATGCCAAGATACCCCAATCCTCTCCAGTAATTTCTGTTGGTTATGGGAGTTCTGTATGCTAAGATTCTTCAATTCCATTTTCGTTGGAGTTCAGAATGCTCTTTGATGGCTGAGGAACTATAAATCCCAGCTACTGCAACACCCAAATGTCAAGATCCATTTCCCCCAAATTCCACCATTATTCAAATTTGGGCATATTGAGTATTCATGCCAAATTTGGTCCAGATCCATAGTAATTTGGGTTCTCAGTGCTTTCTGGATGTAGGTGAACTACATCTCCCATAAATCACTGTCAATTCCTCCCAAGCTCCTCCAACAGTATTTTCTGTTGGTCATGGGAGTTCTATGTGCCAAGTTTGGTCCAGGTCTGTAATTCGTTGGGGTGCTCAGTGGTCTGTTGAAGTCAGAGCTGAATTGGTTGAAGGTACTGCAAATCCCATCATCCAATATCCATACTCCCCTAAACATATTGTTTTTGTGATTAATCACTATGCTTTAATTAGGTTCAATTTGTAACCATGAAAATACATCCTGCATATTAGATATCTGCATTAGAATTCATAAGAGTAGCAAAATTATTTATGAAGTAGCAACGAAAATATGGTTGGGGTTCACCACAACACGAGGAACTTTATTTGGGGGTCACCGCATTAGAAAGGTTGAGAACCACTGGAATAGAGGAATGGGGGGAAAAAGCAGGAAGGATAAAAGGAAACACAGCTTTAGTGCCCAGAAGGCAAAGGTTTGATTTATTGTTCGATCTTTCTCATTCCAGTCTGAGAACAGATCCATCTCCAATAGATTTCAAGAAATGTTATAAGGTTTTACTGTGTGGATCTGATCTTAGAAGAAGTGCTAATGATCCACTAACACATTTCCCCTCTCCTTTCTTCTTTCCAGGTGCAAGTGGGAAGTACACCTCAGGACCAAAGAATTGTGGGATACATTTCCTGCACTCACTTGCAAGCCCTGGCAGGTAACCGTATGGCATTGCTCTCCTCAATTTTGCATTGTTTCTCTTGCTAGACCTGGATTCAACTGGATGGCCATCTCTCAGGGGTGCTTTGATTGTGTGTTCTGTATATCAGCAGGTTGGTTTGGATGGTCCTTCTGGTCTCTTTCAACTCTATGAGTCTATTATTATATGTGCCGTTGCGCCTGGGGGCTATAACTCTTAGTGAAAGAGACATAGATGTGACATCTTTCCCCAAGGGGATTGCTTCTTGCCTTCCTTTAGAGAAATGGAACTCCCAAGGACCAAAACACTGTAGATACTCAAAATAGGTTTTATTGTTCACAAAGAGTTATCCCTTTAAGGCAATAAGCCGGAAGTTTCAAAGGGGTAAAGGAAATATATGTTACAGTCTCTGGTTGTCTTGGGTCCAAGGAGATTTCGCAGCTGAGAAGCCTTTCCTGTTCCCTCTTTTCTCAATGGCTGTGAAGGTGAACAAACACAACCCCCAGTCTAATGGCCTATGTTGAAGGCATAGAGTCTTCCTATGCCACAGGACCAGTTTGAAGGTGCTTGGGTCTCCTCAACATTGTCCAGGGCGATCTGGACATGAAGCATGAATCCCAAGGGTAAAAACCTTAGAATTGGTGATGAGAAGTAACTTAATTAAGGGCTTTAGAGCCAAGTCTCTTTCTCACATCTATCTGATAGAAAGTTTGATGGTAGAATGGAAAAGGAAAAGCTCTGCCTTCCTCCAAGAAGAGGTGGAGCCAAGCAATTGGAGCCAAGCAATGCAGACGACACCAAATTGGGAGGGATAGCCAATAGTCCAGAGGACAGGAGCAGAATTCAAAATGATCTTGACAGATTAGAGAGATGGGCCAAAACTAACAAAATGAAGTTCAACAGTGACAAATGCAAGATACTCCACTTTGGCAGAAAAATGAAATGCAAAGATACAGAATGGGTGACGCCTGGCTCGAGAGCAGTACGTGTGAAAAAGATCTTGGAGTCCTCGTGGACAACAAGTTAAACATGAGCCAACAATGTGATGTGGCGGCAAAAAAAGCCAATGGGATTTTGGCCTGCATCAAGAGGAGCATAGTGTCTAGATCTAGGGAAGTTATGCTACCCATGCTCTATTCTGCTTTGGTTAGACCACACCTGGAATATTGTGTCCAATTCTGGGCACCACAATTCAAGAGAGATATTGACAAGCTGGAATGTGTCCAGAGGAGGGCGACTAAAATGATCAAGGGTCTGGAGAACAAGCCCTATGACGAGCGGCTTAGGGAACTGGGCATGTTTAGCCTGAAGAAGAGAAGGCTGAGAGGAGATATGATAGCCATGTATAAATATGTGAGAGGAAGCCACAGGGAGGAGGGAGCAAGCTTGTTTTCTGCTTCCTTGGAGACTAGGACGCGAAACAATGGCTTCAAACTACAAGAGAGGAGATTCCATCTGAACATGAGGAAGAACTTCCTGACTGTGAGAGCCGTTCAGCAGTGAAACTCTCTGCCCCAGAGTGTGGTGGAGGCTCCTTCTTTGGAAGCTTTTAAACAGAGGCTGGATGGCCATCTGTCAGGGGTGATTTGAATGCAATATTCCTGCTTCTTGGCAGGGGGTTGGACTGGATGACCCATGAGGTCTCTTCCAACTCTTTGATTCTATGATTCTATGATTCTATGAATTGAGCTGAAGAAGCAATATAACTGGTGCAAACAACATCGATTGACAGCTATAAATAACCAATCAATCCAACTATACATTTACAGGGAGGAGGGAGCAAGCTTGTTTTCTGCTTCCCTAGAGACTAGGACGCGAAACAATGGCTTCAAACTACAAGAAAGGAGATTCCATCTGAACATGAGGAAGAACTTCCTGACTGTGAGAGCCGTTCAGCAGTGGAACTCTCTGCCCCGGAGTGTGGTGGAGGCTCCTTCTTTGGAAGCTTTTAAACAGAGGCTGGATGGACATCTGTCAGGGGTGATTTAAATGCAATATTCCTGCTTCTTGGCAGGGGGTTGGACTGGATGGCCCATGAGGTCTCTTCCAACTCTTTGATTCTATGATTCTATGATTCTATGAAGAGTTATCCCTTTAAGGCAATAAGCTGGAAGTTTCAAAGGTCGTTCCATAGCCAGGGGGGCCACCGCTGAGAAGGCCCTGTCTCTCGTTCCTGCCAATCAGATCTGTGAAGAAGGCGGGACCGAGAGCAGGGCCTCCCCGGACGATCTTAAAGTCCTAGATGGTTCATAAGGGAAGATACGTTCAGACAGGTAAACTGGGCCAGTACCGTTTAGGGCTTTAAAGGCTAAATCCAACATTTTGAATTGTGCCTGTTAGCGAACTGGCAGCCAGTGGAGCTGGCACAACAGAGGAGTTGTGCGCTCCCTGAGTACCGCTCCTGTTAACAACCTGGCTGCTCTCCATTGGACCAACTGAAGCTTCTGAACAGTCTTCAAAGGCAGCCCCATGTAGAGAGCGTTGCAGTAGTCTATACGGGAGGTATAGACTACTGTAACGTTCTCTACGTGGGGCTGCCTTTGAAGACTGTTCAAATCAGACATTAGGATCAGTATCTATAACAAATAGGCAGGTAGATTTTGGGTGGGGAAAACTTACGAGATGTATAGACTACTGCAACACTCTCTACGTGGGGCTGCCTTTGAAGACTGTTCGGATCAGACATTAGGTTCAGTATCTATAACAAATAGGCAGGTAGATTTTGGGTGGGGAAAACTTACGAGATGTATAGACTACTGCAACACTCTCTAAGTGGGGCTGCCTTTGAAGACTGTTCGGATCAGACATTAGGATCAGTATCTACAACAAATAGGCAGGTAGATTTTGGGTGGGGAAAATTTACGAGATGTATAGACTACTGCAACACTCTACGTGGGGCTGCCTTTGAAGACTGTTCGGATCAGTATCTATAACAAATAGGCAGGTAGATTTTGGGTGGGGAAACCTTACGAGATGTATAGGCTACGGCAACACTCTCTATGTGGGGCTGCCTTTGAAGACTGTTCGGATCAGACATTAGGATCAGTATCTATAACAAATAGGCAGGTAGATTTTGGGTGGGGAAAACTTTTTTCCTATAGTGTTATTTTGGAGCCCCTTGTGATGCAGAGGATTAAACCACTGAGCTGCTGAACTTGCTGACTGAAAGGTCGTTGGTTCAAATCCGGGGAGCGGTGTGAGCTCCCACTGTTAGCCTCAGCTTCTGCCTGTTCGCAAACATGCAAATGTGAGTAGATCGATAGGGAAGGTAACAGCGCTCCATGCAGTCATGCTGGCCACATGACCTTGGAGGTGTCTACGGACAACGCCGGCTCTTGGGCGTAGAAATGGAGATGAGCACCAACCCCGAGAGTCGGATACGACTGGACTTAATGTCAGGGGAAAACCTTCACCTTTACTAATCCCTTTATTTGTATCAGTTTTTGGACTTGTTTATTTATGCAGTGCTTTGGACACAAAATAAATGGGTGCGCCTACACTGTAGAAATAATGCACTTCACTGCTTTGCTCCAGTTTTTTGGAAATCTAAGCCTCACCTCTGGTGTTGTGTTCAGTAGTTTATGCAGACATGGTGCTCTTCTTGGAAATACATAAAACTTTACTAACAGTTTATGCTGGAAATAGAAAGGGCAAGAATTCATCCTAAATTGCTCGAAAGAGAGTTGATCTTTAAGGAGATTCGTTTTCCTTCACATCATTCCTTGTGAATGCTTTTTTTAAAGCCCCTTTTAACAATTGTAACCCCGACAGTGAAGTCTTACCAGATGACATGATATTTATCTTGAGATAAGATTTAAATAATATTTGGATTATCAGGCTCAGGGAGAGACGACAGCTTTACTTGCTGAAATATGGCTGGTGCAGAAACCTTTTGTGAGACTCAAAACTGATAGGTGGAGTTCAGAATGCTCTTTGATTGTAGGTGAACTATAAATCCCAGCAACTACAACTCCCTAATGCCAAGGTTTGTTTTCCCCAAACTCCACTAGTATTCACATTGGGGCCTATTGAGTATCTGTGCCAATTTTGGTCCAGTTCCATCATTATTTGAGTCCACAGCGCTCTCTGGATATGGTTGAACTACAACTCCAAAACCCAAGGTCAATGCCCACCAAACCCTTCCAGTATTTTCTCTTGGTCATGGGAGTTATATGTGCCAAGTTTGTTTCAATCCCATCATAGGTGGAGTTCAGAATGCTCTTTGATTGTAGGTGAACTATAAATCCCCGCAACTACAACTCCCTAATGTCAAGGTTTGTTTTCCCCAAACTCCACTAGTATTCACATTGGGACCTATTGAGTATCTGTGCCAATTTTAGTCCAGTTCCATCATTGTTTGAGTCCACAGTGCTCTCTGGGTGTGGTTGAACTACAACTCCAAAACCCAAGGTCAATGCCCACCAAATCCTTCCAGTATTTTCTCTTGGTCATGGGAGTTATACGTGCCAAGTTTGTTTCAATCCCATCATAGGTGGAGTTCAGAATACTCTTTGATTGTAGGTGAACTATAAATCCCAGCAACTACAACTCCCTAATGTCAAGGTTTGTTTTCCCCAAACTCCACTAGTATTCACATTGGGGCCTATTGAGTATCTGTGCCAATTTTGGTCCAATTCCATCATTGTTTGAGTCCACAGTGCTCTCTGGATTGGTTGAACTACAACTCCAAAACTCAAGGTCAATGCCCACTAAACCCTTCCAGTATTTTCTCTTGGTCATGGGAGTTATATGTGCCAAGTTTGTTTCAATCCCATCGTTGGTGGAGTTCAGAATGCTCTTTGATTGGAGGTGAAATATAAATCCCAGCAACTACAACTCCCAAATGACAAAACCAATCCCGCTTCACCTCACCAGTATTCAAATTTGGGCGTATTGAGTATTTGTGCCAAATCTGGTCCAGTGAATGAAAATATATCCTGCATATCAGATATTTACATGACGATTCATAACAGTAGCAAAATTACAGTTACAAAGTAGCAACGAAAATAATGTAATGG